AAATTAAATAAAATTAATATTTTAAAAAATGTTTTTCAATTTTAGGGACTTTAAAATTCTTTTTAGTTATCATAACTAATAACTAATTTTACTTTTGTTCCATGTATCTATCTATAACAGTCTAATGATTTGAGTTAAATTTATGTTCGATGTAACTATAATTATAATTTTATTTCAAATTATAAATTTATAATTATAATTTAAAAATACTAATTTTATTATATTATAAAAATAATAAATTTTTTTATAAATCTTAAATAAGTATTTAATAAAATTTTTAATAAATATTTTTAAATATCTTGAATAAATATTAAATAAATAAAATTATAATTATAATATCATTTAAAATTATAAAATTATAATTATAATATAATATTAAATTAATAAATATATATAATATTAAATATATATAATATTATGACTAAATTTATAAATAATAAAAATTTAAAAAAAAATCCTATATAAAATACTAAAATAGTGTAACAAGGGAGAGATATTTTTATGGATAAAGCTCTAAATTCTAAAAGAATGTCATAAAGAAGGATGGAGAATTGGAGATTAGAGGATTGTGAGAGAATGAATAAAGCTTGATGTCACTTGAAATCCCTCGGTTTTACAAAAAAGAGTTATTGTCCTTCTCTTATTTTAAAAAAATTCATAAAAATCCCTTGACTTTCGAAAAAGAACAAGCATAATCACTCCGTTAATAAGGCCGTCCAGTTCTCCGTTAAATTCTTCTAAATTTTAATGGTAAAATGAGAATATTGGTCTCTCAACTTTTAGCTCTTATGCATTTTGATGCTCTAACTTCAATTTACTGGTTTTGGTCCCAATTTTAACTTTTTTATTACACTTTAGTCTCTAAACTTTTTAAATAATTATACTTAGGGCTTAATTTCAGTCCTTCTTTACCCAAATAATAAAAATCATGTAAAATTTAATAAAATCACACTTAATTTATCTAAATATCATAAAATTAAGTTAAAATGGTAAAGTAAAACATGTAAAATTCATTTAAATAAAGTCAAAAATCAAATATTTGATATCTAATTTAAGATTCCTAAAAGTAAAGAAAGAACATTTGTCTCAGTGGATGCACATAACTTATATTATAGAAAAAAAAAAATAAAAAAAGAACAACAATATGATCAACAAAAAGGTGAAAGGGAGACCAAATTGAATGACTCTAAACTTTGAGGATCAAAGTGCATAGAAATTAAAAGATAAAAGACTAAAAATCTCATTTACCGTTAAAATTTAGAGAATTTTGACAAAGATTCGTCAATGAAAGGATGATGGTTGGTTCTCTCCATAAAGTTGAGAGATTTCTATGAATTCTTATAAAGTATTGGGATGACAATTACTTCTTTTGTTAAGTTAAAGGATTTTTAGTGATGTTAAACCTTTATTTTGTGAAAAAAGTATCTTATTTAAGTGGCAAAATCCTATTATTAAACCCTCAAACTTATCCAAGATTCTCAATTAAGCTTCCAAGCTTTTAATGAAGCAAATAAACCCCTAAACTTAGCAATGTAGGCAATTTAAATATTTTTCTTACTATAGACTTAATACTTGTTTGTGCCTCGCTTGTAAGTATTGACATGTCATTATTTATGTGGTAAGTATTGACCTTATTCATACCAGTAACGCGCAAAACAAATATTAAGTACTCCATAAAAAAAAAAAAGATTAAATTACCTAACCCATTAAGTTCACTGGCTTACTCACTTCAATAAAAGTTTAAAAGTTTAATTGAGAATATGGGGTAAGTTTGAGGCTTAATTTAGGTTTTGACTATTAAGTTCAAGGACTTTTTTTTGGCTGATGTTTAATTTGTATTTTTTTTTTTACCTCTTTTGCTCATTTAGGTCAGCAATTGTCAATAATGGTTTTTTTTTTTTTCTATATCTGAAAAGTTCTTACCATATTTAATTTTCCTTTTTAACTCTATACGTGGTGGTTTGATTTTTAGGGAACCAAAAGATCTTTAGACATTTGAAAAAACTATCCTCGTTTACCTCAGGCAAAGTCTTTCCTTTTTCTTAGATGAGTCTCAATGGAAGAATCGACATGGTAATGCATGCCACAAGAAGCTACATGCCAAGTGTTTTTGAGGATGCAAACTCCATGGTAACGTTTTTCCTGTTTTGAAATGCTCTTGATAATTTTTGGGCTATTAAGGAATAATTGCAACAATATTTTATAGAAAAACTAGAGAAAACAACCACACCAAAGCTGCAAGGTAGCAGCTAGGTATGTGAAGGGGGTATAAATAGGGATGCTACAAGACCCAAGCATGTTTTTGTGGCCTTTGAGAAAGACTCTAGCTATGTGTTTGATGGATTGTCCAATGGCATGGTATGCATCCTCAAAAATGCTTGGTATGTGGCTTCTTGTGGCATGCATTATTGTGTCAATCCTTCTATTGGGACTCGCCTAAAGAACAAGAAAGACTTCGTTTGAAGTGAATGAGGATAGCTTTTTCAAATGTCTAAAGTTTTTTTGATTCACCCTAAACTCTGTAAATTTAAAAAGGCAAATTAAAGATGGTAAGAACTTTTCAAATTTGGAAAAAAAAAAAAATGCTACAAGGCTGCAATTGACCTCACTTTCAATTGTTTGTCTATTCACTATCCTAAAGTGCCTGGATGTTCGGAGCTAACCAAGGATGCTTGTGACAAGGCCAACAACTGAAATATGTAATTGATAATCTTCTGTTAATGAAAGTAAAAGGTTTTGAATTTAAATCACATGGTATATAGGAAGAATGAATTGATAAATGAAAGAGAGTTGCCTTGTATTGTGTATCCCAAGGTTAAAAGAAAATTACAATTCATACATGTATTTGGAAGATGCTACTGGGTGTTTTTGTTAACTATATTAATTAGCACTTTATTTTTTTGTTTATTTATTTTTCATTTACGGTCAAAATGTTTCTATATCAGTTTGTATACACCTCAAAATGAATTTTTCCTTAGACCATCTTGAAAGCACACTCCCCACATCAGCCTAAAAATTAATTTCCTTAAATGTTGGTTCTAGGATTTGAATCCTAAACCTAACCTATAACACTATACTTACCAATAAATGCAACTCTTGGGCTTATTAGCACTTTATTTATTAAATACTAGTGACTTATTACTCCCTCCGTTCTGTTGGTTTGATTATTGATTTTTAAAATAAAAAATTTAAGTGGAAATTAAAACGCAACAGTACTTAGTAATAGACTTTATGAAAAAAAAAAAAAACTGAAAAACAACCATAAAATGGGCAAAACCCTTTTATTGGTATACAATCCGAATGCCAAAAAGTTGCTACACGAGCTAACCTGTAATACTAATGCCACATGATAAACCATAATCTAAAGGGAAAATTATTATAAAAAAGAAATAATTGTAATTTTTCAAAATGGATAAAGATGGGTACACCCACCGGTTCAACACCGGTGGGTGCACATTCTATAAAATAAAGTTTTTTCTGTATAAACCAAGAATAAAATTACAAATTTAACCTTCCTCCTCTTTTTCTTCCATCATCCTCTAATCACCATTTTTACCCATCATCTCCGATCTTCATCATCCTCCACCTTCATCACTGATCATTCTTCTTCATCATCAATCACCCATCTCTAATCTTCATCACCTTCATCACCAATCATTCTTCTTCTTTTCCTCACCTCTTTCTTTCTTCTTCCTTTTTTTTTTCTCTCTCTCGGTGGAGAAAGAACCCAGATCTGGGTTCTCAGAGAACCCAGCTCGGGTTCTCAGAGAACCCTGCTCAGGTTCTCACGGTGGGAACCCGACCTGGGTTCTCACCAGAGAAATTCTGATTTTTTTTTTTCTTTTGGATGGATGGATTTGGTGAAATGCTTGAGTTTTCTTGGGATTTGGTTGTTGAATGTGCTTGAAGGCTTGAATTTTGCTGGGATTTGGTTGTTGAATGTGCTTGAAGGCTTGAGTTTTGTTGGGATTTGTTCCGTGGGAAATAGATTTAGTAAGAAGGGTAAATTTGTAATTTTACTGTTTAAACCAATTTGGGTGTAAAAATAGGTGCCGGTTCATGGGTGTACGTATCATTGTCCTTTCAAAATAAGGGAAAATAATAAAAATATAACAAAT